ATAACCAGTAAAGAGGTCCAAGAGCTTCCCCAGGGTTTCATCCCCTTCTCCTCCCCAAAATGAGATCTGGTTTGTCTGGGCTATTTATTACGTGAGCACTGATTCTGTGTGTTACCCGTGACTCTTTGCAAGGACAGCAAAGTCCGTACGTTTGGGTGAAAAAAACACATACAGGGATTTAAATTTTGTCCCCGTTTTGATCGCTTCTTCTTTTGCCTGTGCTGAGAGGTGGGTGGGTTTCTGGAGCGGCGGGAAGGATTCAGGCTGCTCTAGGGAGGGGCTCCTTGCGAATATCTCCATTTTACAGAAGGGGAGACAGCTCTGAGTCTTGCTCGTGGTCGCAGAGCCCACTGTGGCAATAAACCCGTCTAGTGCTTTATTCACTATATAGCTCTTCCTCTATTATGCTTTTGCAGTGGTATTAAATCTTAATTAAAAGAAGCTTCAAACTTGCCAATCAGTAAAATGAAAGGATTTGTAAGTCCCCAGTTTTCCTTCACAACTGTGATGCTGTTCGTTAGGGTTTTTCTCCTTCATTTCCTTTAGATAGCGAAAGTAATTGGGGTGACTTTGGTTTCTTTCCAGTTGGTTTCTTGGTACAGCTATGTATTTAAGCATAAGCTAAATCAGTAGGATGCAAGTACCTGTGATGAATGGCAGGTCAGATTAAAAATTACCTAATGGTTTCTCCTGGCTTTAATCTCTCTGAACTAAATGTGTCTGAAGTTAATAGGATGGTTTGCCAAATAAAGCCCTACGTGACTCTCTTCTTTTTTTTTTTTTTTCCCCTCCCCTTAAGAGTCCCTTTAAATGTTTATATCAATTAGTTTTCTGAAACCATTTCACCAAGACTGAATCTAAATGCATGGCACCGTGCCCTTTCCAAGAGTCGTAGGCACAAAGAGCATTAACCCCTTCTTGGGAGAGCTGATGTATTCTTAACACATGGAAAACGTCCCATAAATGTGAGGTATCCGTTTAGACCTTTAAAAACAGACAGCTATCTGATATATAGTAAGCGTCATGACCGGGTATTCTTCTTTGTCCTTTTTACACGTAGGTGGGTGTTAGGTGCTTTTTTACGTTTGCTCATGCTTTCATCCAACACCACTGGAAGCCGAGATAAATCGATCAGTGATGTCAGTGGAAAAATTGGTGCCTAAGCAAGAGGCACATCGCAGCCCACGTATCTAGTACCTGCCGCTGTGCTGGCTCACCATAGCACACGAGTAGTTGAGATGCCCATGGTGGAAAGCCAGTCTTTCACGGGTTTTCACGTTACAGAACTTGCTGGGGACTGTGTTCATGCTGGGAAGTGTACTGGAATTCCAGGGGCTTGCAGCCATGGCAGTTAATGGCTCTAGGTTAAATGTTTTAATGCGTAGGGTATCTATTTCTTCTTTATGTTGCATTATCCCAGTTTATACCAGTAGCTATAGCACCTGACTGCCCATTTCCGAGCATCCAGTGATAACACTGTGGTACAGAGATGCTCAGGTCCTGTTCCGGATCTTCATCTTCCGCTGCTGGAGGTGCACTGGCCCTTGTCTGTCTTGGTGTTGTATTATGTAGTCACTCTCAAGTTTTTTTTTTTTTTTTTTTTTTTTTTTTTTTTTTTCTCTCCTTGTGCATGTGGTGTGCATGAAGTGAAATGAGCATTAATTGAGCGACTTAACGGATGCTCTAAAAATTATTGCAAGCTCTCTAATTCAGCGAGTTGCTTTACATAAGTCTTCTCTCGCAAACTTGCCCGCGGTTGATGTTTCTTTGAAGAGCCTGTGATGACTCTGTATCTAGAGATGGTTGAAACACCTTCAGCTCTGCCTGGATGTCAGTGGTGTTCAGCACTTCATTTTCAAAGAGAATTTGTTAACACAAGCGTAGCCTGAAAGATGAAAGGATCCACCTTGAGTCTCATTTGAGGCGGTGAGAAACCAGGCGGGAAGAGAAGGATCTTGAGCGATATTTGATTTCTCTGGTCAGTTGTGGCAGAGAAACCTTTCTCCTAGCGAGAAAGAGCTTTCTTATGGTGTATCTAAGACATAAGCTAAGGAGACTGACTGGGAAAACAGGATGAGCAGCTCCACCACGACAGCCACCGCTGTGCAGAGCGCCCCGTGTTTCCTGCTCCTTCATCTGGGTTGCTGTGCTGCAGCCCGTGGTGTTTAGACCCTGTCTGCCTCCATCGAGGAGCTGTGCTGAAAAGTGAAGGGTTTCACCGAATAGCGAAAAGTGACAGCTGAACGTGGAAACAGAGATACTGAACTCGGCATTTCCCTCTGGGCTGAGGATGAGCTTGGCTGTCCTTTCCCATTTGTGCTGATGGGCCCTTCTTCCTTCCAGCTAGCTCTCCTGGCACAAGTCCTCTTTTGGGAGATTCACCCCAATCCCTTGTGCTTGTATTTCTCATCTTTTAAAAAATCGTCGGTGTTGCCTGATTAGAGTTCAGCAGGGCTGAGTTCTGCTGGGCGGGTTCCTGCCGTCAGCTGTAAGCTTTCCTCCCCGCAGCTCTGGGATGCACCGTGACGCTCAGCCTCGGGGTGCGATGGGTGCCCTGCTTTTGTGTTCCACCTGTGAGTAGGCTGACTTCGACAGCCAGCACCCCACTTTGCCTGCGCTGAGCGCTGACACCCGCAGTGAAATTAGAGGCACCACTGGAAAGATAACTCAGCCCAGCTCTTGTTCAAGCAAACTAAGCGTGGCCTGGCAATTGCAGGAGGTGCCAGGACACCAGCCCTCAGCCAGGAGCAAACTAAGACCATACTCCTGGCTAGGACCTGGTGAACTAGGAAGAAAAAGTGCCAGACCTGAGCCGTGGTACTTTACGAGCAAATACTGAACGGGATGGATCCCTTAGTGGGGCGCTCGAGTTTGGGCAGTGGGATGGAGAGAGCCCTAAAGCTCTCACCTTGGTGCCAGGTTATGAAGAACGTGGCTGAAGGGCCCTTGCCCATTTTTCCCTCCTGTATCTTTGCAAACACATGACCCCATCCCTGGAGGGGCTTAGCACCTTCCAGCACTCCTTCATACTGCTTTTAATTTTCTAAATGCTGCTCTTGCAGAATTTTTTTTCCCTAACTCTTTTCTCACGTGTGTACTCTGATCTTTAAAAAGTATATATATTTTCTATTATCAGCACATAATCAACAAGATTGCATGTGTAGTAAAGTGAAACCAGCCCCGGGAGGGTACAGAGAGGTACAATCCAGTCCCAGGGGCACCTTTGTTCTCTGTTGGACAGAAACATTGTCTAGCTCAGCCCAAGCAGAGCTCTCCAGAGAGCGTGATGCTGTTGGGATGTATCGATCTCCGGGCTGAACTCAGCATGTCCGTCCCCTTCTCGTTTGGTGCTGTGAGAGCAATAATAATTCTTGTGTTGCTGCAGTGCCTTCACTGAAGTGGCGCCCAGGAAGGAGAGCAGCTTCTGGACCAGACTCTTAGACCTGGGCTGGTTTTGGCTTGCGATCTGTGAAAGCTCTGAAAAACAAATCAGAAAAGCTTAAACTCACTGTTCCAGGACTTGGCCCACCTCTGCAGTGGTCTTAGGTATTGAGAAAGGTTGAAAATTATTTCTTGAACAGAGCCACGTGCCCCTAAATCATTAAAATTATCATGCTTGGGGTGCAGGGAGGGGTTTGGAGGTCCTGGCTTGTCTGTCCCTCTCCCAGTGAGGATGCTCAGCCCTGCTTTATGTAAAAGAGAAAGTTGGTCACCAAAAAAGCCACTGGTGAAGAGCACACTTTATGATTTGGAGTTGGGAGCCCAGTCACATCTTCATGTGGATTTTTTTTTCCCCTTTTTGGACATTGTGGCATCTAACCGAGTTGCCAGCCCTCCGTGTTACCCCGAGGCACGTGGCTGTCCTGCGTTGTGCTGACCAGGGAGCAGGGAGCCAATTCTAGCAAAACTTCAGGAATCAGAACCCGCAGGTTTCCTGGGCGTGCTGGCATCTGATCTGTGGGATGGCAGGCGTTGGGGGCCAGCTGGGTGGGAGCTGGGCCTGTGCTTTGCTTTGGCATTCGCCAGGTCCTGTGGTGTTTGTGAACTGATGCAGTGCCACGAGCAGTCCTGCCAGCCTGCACCAGGGGAGCAGGTGTCGTGCTGTCTCTGATTATTTTTTTTTTTCTCTTTCCACTTTCACTTATGTTCCATGGTTTGTTTTGTTTTTTTCTTTTGTCTAATGTTCGTTTCAGAATTCGGACATCGGGCTGGCTGACACATGTTTTGGGGGGCAAGTCTGCCCCTGGGGCGGATGCTGGAAGACCAGCTCTGCTAAGTGAAAGGGACAGGGCACCCTGGGGCTTGCTCGCTTCTCCTGGGAGAAAGACACCTTCAGTGCCCTGGTTTGTCACTCCCACTTTCATGGGAGTGAGCTCTATCTGAGGCCGGCGTGGCTCTCCGGGCTCCTCCCCACATCGGTACAGGTGGTGGAGCTAGTTCCAGCATCTGCCTTCTCCAAAATGTGGGAATTGCTCCATGTGTCTTCCTGGAGAGCCAGGAAGGGCTGGGCCAGCCTGGGAGGTGATGCTGCACATCACGGCAAGCAAAACAAGTCAGCATCCCTCCAGTGCGAGCTTCCCGGTGGTGGTTTGGGTGGCCCTGGGTGCTGCTGCCCCGGCTTCCCTGAGTCCTTATTTGTGGCCAGGGCTGGGTGGGCTCCGGGGCAGTTGCTGGGCTCCGAGCTCGGATGGAGCTGGGTTGTTCAGCAGCCGCTTTCGTGTGTGGTCACCGTCCGGTGTCCTCTGTTCCAGGCAGGCATGTCCTGTGCTGGGCCTCGCTCCTCCTTCTATAAACCGCTGTGAATTGCAGGCCTTGGCATGCAGGGAGGAGCCCGAGGAGTGGGAAAGCTGCCTCTGGCAGGAGGAGAGCTTTATTGCACCCGCTGAAATGTCACGTTGGTGAAACCGCCGTGAGCGACGGCGTTCGAGTGATTTGGTGGACGTTTGTAGCCAGAGTCCATCTCTCCGCAGAAACCAGACATCACGTGGCTCTCGCCTCGCGCTGGAAGCTGTCACTGCCGCTAATATGACACATCAGAGATGAGATGCTGCTTCTCATTAGCATCAGGGGGTAAAGGGCATCCTCCAGAGGATTTGGTGCGGTGGCTGCCGCGTCATTAACACAGGCAGCCAGCAGCAGCTCTTGGCCTTTCATTTGCTTTATAACATCTAGTCTGATAAAAGACCTGGATGTTTGGAATAATTGTTGGTAATGGCTAATTGTCAGGCATGCGATTGCCATGTCCTTTATCCGCGCAGCAGTGGGGCAGCCTTGCAGCCCAGTGCCACGGCAGTATTTATTTGTATTTTGCCAGCACCTGCTCACCTCGACCTGTATTGCCTGGGGTGATGGATGAGCACAGAGTGTGTCCTCAAGTTTAATAACTTAAAGGCTGAAGCGCTCAGACTCTCCTGTATATCGATATTTCTTTTTTCTTAATTAGCATTTACAATGATTCTTCCCCAGTGCCTGCTTTTAAGACAGGCTCGACGGGAAGCCTGCGGTGTTTTATTAGCCCTGGAGTGTGTTTTTAAGCAAATGACTGGATAAGCTGCTCCACGAGGAGAGGAGGCTGATGGCTGTTTTCTTCCTTTCTTTCTCTTCCCTAGAAATTGGCAGCCGAATGCCAGAGTGCTGGCTACCCGGGGACCCTCATCCCATACAAGTGCGATCTCTCCAACGAAGAGGAGATCCTGTCCATGTTCTCCGCCATCAAGACGCTTCATCAAGGAGTTGATGTCTGCATCAACAACGCGGGGCTGGCTCGCCCGGAGCCCCTGCTCTCAGGGAAAACAGAGGGCTGGCGGACGATGATAGACGTGAGTAGTGCCACTGGGAGAGCGGAGCTGTGCTAGATTTTTATTTCTTCTGGCTGCCAACAGCATCGTCCCCATAGACTTATTTCATGTGTGCAGAGCTCAGGACCTGCTTCTCATCTGGCTCTGACATGGCCCGGGTGTGATTGGGAAGTGGAAAGACATCATGCACTGCTGAGCCACGTGCCTTCACCTTGGAGTAGGAAAACATTCCATACCTTCAGTAGCATTTTTTCCTTTAGCTCGATGGCCTTCTAAATGGTGATGAGCCTCACTGTTGTTTTTTTTTTTCTTCAATAAAATAGGAAATTGAATGCCAAGCATTGGCTTTTGTAGCTAATCCTGTTAGGGATAGCAGTGGGTTGTAAAATGGACAGATTCTTTTTGTTTTAAAAAGCTGTAATGCTTTTTGTCTTTATAGCTTAATTTTCTGCCCATAATCTGGTTAGAGCTGGATGTGAACAAGGCAATTTCATATGCTGAACGGGGAGTTTGTGCAAATCGTCCATGCCATTTCCCAACAGCTCTTCTCCCTGGGTGTTGCTGTCCTGAGGTGCTGCTCTGCATCTTTCTGGGACTTCACCATCTTTTGTCGTTCCGTGATGGCCCTTTTCTGCACACAACCACAGCTGTGGGACCCCGGGCCAGTCTGCGTGCCCTTGCAATGGCCCTTTGGCTTTCCTGCAGCTCTGGCTGGTGAGATGCTGAAACAGGAGCTGTTCGTGAAGATGGTTTCCCCCTCCTGTACTTTTGTGCATGAAAGCGTTATCCTCATAGGAACAGGAGTCGAACTCATGGCTTTGAGTGAGCCTTCTAGCACCTCCAGCAGCTATGAGAGCTTGTCCTAGTGAAGGAAGAGAAGTGTCTATTTGAAAAGTTGCTTGAAGCTGTAGGGTTGGGGCTGCTACATCTGACAGCGAAGTCAGCCGGGATCTGTCGGCTCCTGCAGCAGCCGGTGGCTGTTCATCCAGCAGTAGCTTCAGGGGCTGCGTAAAGCAAAACAGAGGGGCACATGGAGGCCTCAGGCTCCTGCTGCCAGGGCAAGAGCTGCCATCTCCTGACTAATTAAGTTCTTGTTAGGATTTTGGCCGCTCTGCTGGCTGCTGTGACTGCAGCCAAAGTAAGCTCAGCTCAGCTTTGTCTGCCCAGCCAGGCTTTTGTGGGTTGCCCAGCCTGGGTCACTGCACAGCCGCATCTCCCAGTCCACGGTTGCCATGGAATCTTTAAAGAAAATTAAGTGAAGTGTAGCTGAGACTGAGCTGGTGTAAAGCAGGGCACTTCCCAGCCTTGTCTCACCACAAGCCTGGCCCTGTGGGTCGCCTGCGCCTTGGAAACTCCTTGTCCTGGTCGCTGTGATTGTGCCTTTTGTGGATGCCCCTGTGGATGCTGCATGTCTCTCACACTCATTTGTCTTTGTTCTTCTGACTTTTTGTTCTTCATAAGGTGGGCAGGCTGCAGGGGACGCAGCTTGTGCCAGCTGAAGGCCTTTGCCCTCTCCGTGCTCCCTTCCCCGGGTGCTCAGGTGGGAGCGCTCCCTTTATCTCACCTTCCATCGCTTTTCGGGAGAAAGATTTTGGAATGGGGATTGTCCTGTACGACATGCTCCAGTGTTGGTATTTAGTGAGTTGAACTTTGGGAGCCTGTGGGGTCCCTCTCCTCGTGGGTGCTGCTGTGTGCACCTTTCGGAGGTGTTTCAGGGTGATGGATGGGGTGGGAGGAGAGGCAGGGTGGTGACTTCACATGGGCAGCATTAGAAAACCAGGGCCAGGGCCATGTTTTATTCCCCGAGGTGATCTGTATGGCTCTATCTGCGCTCATTGCTTGGCAAAACTGCTGCTGTAGCACTGGGAACACTGAGACACCCAAGCTTTCTTCCTGTACCGGCAGCTTTTTTCCTCTCTCCAGCTTCCCCAGCAGCTGGTGGGTTTGCTCTTGACTTGTGTGTAATTAAATAACATTCGCACCTCTAACGCAAAGGTGAAGCCCTGGGACACTCCAGAGCCAAACGCTTCCCCCACCTCAGCCTAGGCAGCCTGACAAGCCTGGGCTTTCTTTTTAGCCTGCCACTAAGCGGTAGAAATAGCTCAGGGTTTTTCCTTTCACTCTGTGCCCCTGTTTTGTGGCTGCAACCTCCCTGCCTGGAAATACTCTCCACGCATGCCGTGGCTGTGCAGCGCTGGTGTGGCAGTGGGGACTGCGGAGGGATCTGCAGAGACAGCGCTCTCCCCACCGTGGCAAGCCAGCCCCAGGGAAACACTCGCCAGGCCCGTTTCTCTGACGTGCTCTGAAGCTCTCGGAGGGTCAGGACGGGGGAAGGTTGCCAGCACCTTTCACGGGCCACTGGGCTTTGCAGAGCTGAGCGGGAGCAGGGAGGCTTCTTCCAAAGGTCTCTCGGAGAAAGGTGTTAGAGAGCAGCACCAGTCGAGATGCTGTTGGAGAGTTTCAGGGTGCTTCTGGGCTGCTAGACAGGAAAAGTTTCTAAACAGCCATCGATCTATTGATTTAGGAGGCATTAGGGCCTTAAATTAAAGGCATTTTTTTTCCTTTTGGCAAATCGATTTTTGTTTCCATGCATTTTTTATGAGCTTTGAGGCTCTGTCTCCTTCCAGGCTCCCCTCTCAGTATACCTATTCTATAAAATTTCTTGCTACGCATCTAACAGTCAAAATCATGTTTATCGTTTACTTATTCCTCCTCTTTTTCTGATGTTCCAGCTCCTTATTGTCTGCTATTTATTCCCCAGGGAGGAGCTGCTTCTCCCTGGGCTCCAGGAGTCTCGTGTTTAGAATCGTGTCTCCGTTGCTTTACAGCAGCGCCGAGCCCAGCCAGGAAATTCAGTATGTGTGCGGGAGGGAGCCTGTTACCACAGGCAGGTTCTGAGCCCATCATCTTTTGGTTCACAGCTTCCCCCTTTTTCTCTCCACTTGTTTGTGTGGTTGTGCTTGACACGAGGCTGGAGCAAAGTCCTCCAGCTGTCCCCAATCCGCGCAGGAGCAGCCAGGGTTGGGTGCTGTGTACACACCGACTCCAGGCTCTGGGATTTGAACGGCTCCTTCGTGTTTTACCTACTGACCTTTGCAGTCAGGAATTCAAGCTGAACTTTCCATTTGCAGTGTTCAGGGCACAAAGGACTGCAGCGCACATCCTCTCGCTCCTCTGGATGCTAAATGGGTTTGATTCTGCTTGGCATTATTCACTGACCAGCAAGGCTCTGTTCTTCTTGCTTTTATATCTCATCGGTGCAGAGATATGTTTTCTGTAACCTGCGTTTTTAAGTGTGCTTAGGAGCTGGGATACTCATTTTGATGCCTTAGAAAAGGCTGATTCTGGGAAGTGAAATGCTCAGCGCTTCCAGGAACAGGCTCTTTTATGCTCTCCCAACCTGGCAATTGGAACTCATTAATTACTAGAAAATGTGCCGTCGTCGTTTCTATCGCGTTAGCGCGCACCCGCGGCAGGCGCGGACCGGCTGCCTTGTGCAGCACGCTGTGTGCAGGCAGAGCACAGATGCGCTGGCCATCTTTGTAAGGGACCTTTGAACCTTTTGTTCTTAAAATAGGAACGGGGCTGAAAAATGTCTTGTGTGGATATTTGTAACAACGGCCTTCAGATTGTTTCTCGAAGTGATACAGGCCTAAGCCTGGTTCCTTTTCCAGGCACGTTTTTAGGCTCCTGAGTGCCTGTTCCATGGTTTGAGATGGGAGTTCACCCCAAAATCCTGTGGGTGTTCTCAGGAAGAGGCAATCCCAGCTCAGCTGCCTTCCAGCCAGTTGTTTTGTTGTACCAGGGTGTCTTATCGTGCAGGCTCTGGACTTTCCCATGTGGCTGTTGATGAGTATCTTGCTTTGCCAGTAGTTGTCAAAATGTTGTAACTCTACCGACGCAAGGAAGCATTGCTCAGCGTGAGTCACGGCGTTGGAGCCGGGTGTCAGGCTTTAGGCTGATGTTACCCTCTAGTGGCCTGCGGAGATGGAGTGAAATTGGGGAGCGACCGCACCAAAGTCACGGTGCCTGGTGGGTTCAGGGCGCCTGGGGGCAGCGAGGAAAGCGGGGATGCTCCTTGTCACAAAGGTTTTTTATACTAACAGTTGCCCAGATCCATATCTGAAAGGACTGGCTTCTCACTTGGTTAGTAGATCAGACTGGAGTGGGTTTACTCCTGCTTTCCTTGCCCACCTTACTGTGAAATCCAAAAGCCTTCTGCCTGCTCTGGGCTTCAGTCCAGTGCTGAGGTGTCACTTCTGCTGACATGTCTGCTAACTTTCTTCCCTGCACGGCCAAGGTAAATCTTCAACCTGGTGCCAGGCAATTTATCTCTGTAGTTCCAGGTATGATGACTGAGGTCTCCAGCAGTGACCGTGTGCTCAACCAAAGTGCACTCGGATGAAGATGATGACTCTACTTGTTGTGTTGCCTGGGTACTCCAAGATCAGATAAGCATGCTCTTTATCTATCGCCAAGACAAAAACTCACAAGCATGGCCTCTAGTAATGAACAGAAAATAACGACCGAGACAAAAGCAGTGACTGGAGGATCCTTCAGCTGACCCCACTCATCCTTTGTGTGCTGCTCAGTACTGATATCTCTCAAGTCCATCCCTTTCTGCTTCTCACTTTCTGGTCTCCAAACTAATGTTCCTCTCTCGCATGTCCTCTTGTGCTAGCAAGTCCTGATTAGCCTGCCCCGTTCTCGTTTATAAGTTTCACAGCGATGGTAGCCAGCGTACCCTTCGCTCACTGTCCACGTGGTCTTGTTCCTGCTGCTCCTCCCGTTTATAGTTGCACCTGACTTCTGATTCATCAGAAGTTTAGTTCTTCCTGGATATTTCATTCACAGCGGTGGTTTTAGACCCGCCTGGCCTGCTCATTTAGTTAGCGATGTGCCATTAAGTAGGACCTGCCAGCGTGTCCTGCTTTGAAATGGTTACAGCCTTTCCAGAGGGCTTCAAGCAGAGGCTTTCCACCTTTCAGCCACTTTTCCAAATCTAAACCACTGTAAATTTGAGCAATTAGCACTGCTGCTGAGGCAGCTTGCTCAACAGTCTTGCACACACCTCTGGGTGCTTTGTATTCCAGCTGGGGGAGTTTCCATACCTTCGTCTTCCTGGAAACTTTGACTCTGTGTTTTATGGTCAGCAAATGCTCAAGGCATCTGCACGTTAACGGTGGCACATTGCAGGTACAACTGAGTCTAACCAAGCCACGGTGTGCTGGGAAGTGCTGGTCCAAAGAGCAAGACCCCGGAAAGCTCTGGATCCTGTGCTTAAGGGCTGGATAAACTGCCATGTCCTTTCTTCCTTGGCTTATCCAGTTAGGGCTGAGGAAAATGTCAGTGGACAGTGTGACAGATTTCATATCTGCAGGGTTATTTGCCCACTCTGGCCTTCCCCATGGCACAATGTGATCTTTGGCTTCATTTGTGCCCAGGGAGCTCTTTGCTGGCCGTGGGGTTTGCAGTGCCTCTGAGCGCCTGGCTCTCTGACAGGCAATATCTGGGGATTTCCTCGTTAGCTACCTGACCTAATTACCTGCTGTTAGTGTCCTATCAGCTGCCCAAACACCGGTGTGCTCAGTGCTGTACAAAATAAACAACCTCGTCTCCTGGACAGAGCACTGACTGTGGAGAAGCGGGTTTGTTCTCCTTTACTTGGCACTCTACCCGCACACTTGCCCATAAAATGTTTATTTCTGGCAGAGGCCAAGGCTGTCTCAGAAAACCAGGTGTCTGTGACCCCCCCCTGCCCACACCCCCTGTGACTGCAGCCCCCAGCACGGTCGCAGCGTGGCGTAGGGGGTGCGTACGTGCATTTCCCTCTGTTGGCATTTGCGGGAATTGCTGTGGGTCAGGGACTGGAACCTGCGTCCACAGCTTCAGGTGTGTGGGGGACAAGTCAAAGGGTGCCAGGCAGGGCTGCTGGTCTCAGTTTTTCCTTTTTTTCTCTTCCCTCAGGTCAACGTGATGGCTGTGAGCATCTGCACCCGAGAGGCTTACCAGTCCATGAAAGAGAGAAACATCGATGACGGGCATATTATTAACATTAACAGGTACGCGGCGGGGGAAATGGGGGGTCAGCCACGTGGGCTTCCTCCTCCTCGCCTCACAGGGAGGATTTAAGCAGAGGAGCTTTGACCTTGGAGCGCGCTGATGGTGCCCAGGAGGGGTTTTCCAAGGATTGCAACGGCTGATTTTCAAACCACTTTTTTTAACCTCTGCTGGTCTAAATGCAAAAAAAAAAAAAAAAACCCAACAAAACAAACCACAAACCTGAACCAGGGAGAAAAGGGTAACGCCAGTCACGTGCAGTGGTGTAAGGTTGAAGATTAAAACTTCTTGACCAGCTCCAGAAGACAGCAGTGTCAAGAGGTGGTGTGCGTTTCCTGCAGGAGAGGGGAATTCCTCACATAGCCACCGTGTCGGTGTCTCTTTCGGTGTTCATTATGGTGGTTGGAATATCCCGTTTTTTCCTTCTCGGGACTCTGCTTGCCTCCCCACCTCTCAGCACTTTCCTTTCTGCTCTCTCCTCAGCATGAACGGCCACAGCGTTGTGCCACAGTCAGTGGTGCATTTTTACAGTGCCACCAAGTACGCAGTTACAGCCCTCACGGAGGGGCTGAGGCAAGAACTCAGAGAAGCAAAGACTCATATACGAGCTACAGTGAGTACTGCGGGCTCTCTTCCTCTCTCCTGCTTTTGTGGGTGGTAGAGAGCTGGCAGGCTTTATGGGGCTGAGGAAAACAGGCGAGGAAATGCAGAAACTGGGAACGTTCAAGTCCTGTGGCCAGCTGTCCCTGGCCACCTCTCGTTCCCAGGTAGAGAGAGACTGGGGGCAGAAGGCACAGCAGCAGTGAGATGTGTCAGGGAATAAACTTTCTGCGTGCACAAAGCGGGTGGTTGCTCACCCAGGAGCGAGCGGGGCTGGTGGCAGCAGAGGGATGCAGACAGCCAGGCTGTTTGCTCTCATTCAGAGCTTGCATCTCGGGAGTGATGTGTCCAGAAGTTCATTTGCATTGCAAGCTTTTCCATCATTTTCTTTGCTTTCTCTGTCCCTTTGGGGCATGAAGAGGAAAGTACCCATCAGCAGTTCCCCAGAGGTACCTGCCACAATAATCATTAAGGCAAAGCCTTGCTCACTTAAACTGTTCCCCTAGAAAAAAGTGTGGGGAAGGAGAACAATAGAAAGGGGGCTGGATTTTTTTTTTTTCTTTTTCATTGCTAAAATGTTTTCTTTCCTTTTATTCTTTTACTGAAGGGGAATTACAAATCCTATTAGGATGTGCTCTGCTTTTTTTTCCAGTGTATATCTCCAGGACTGGTAGAAACAGGATTTGCTTTTAAACTTCATGATAATGACCCTGAGAGAGCTGCTGCAACCTATGAGAGCATTCGGGTAGGACATGGACAAATGGAGACAGAGGGAAGTGGCTTTGATTATAGTTTAACAGTCTCTCCGCTGGCATATAGCACAAGGAACTAGTTTTGCCGAGTGCCCAGTGCTTTCCAGGATGTAATCAGCAGCCCCCAAGTCTCAGGACTCAGACCTCAGATTCTGCACTGATTTTTACACACTATGCAGATTTTCATTCCAGTTCCGTTTCTGTCCCTCTATATTTTTCTTTTATTTTGACATTCCTGTAAATAAATATCAGTCAGCTTTGGCATTTGGCAGGCTATGGCTTCTTTATTGAAAAGATATAATAAGCAAACATGCCTACACAGGAAGAAATGTGAGAGCATGTTGACTTGCAGGTGGCTAGCACAGGATTTCTTGTGCTTCTTGGGTAATTTTTGATAAGGATGGCAATGCCCGACCTGGCAGAATTCCTGTGTCAGTAGTAAGATTATTCACAGCAGATGGAGAATTACCAGCACCAGACACGTCCTTTGTTAAATTTTTAATGGATTATTTTTTTCCTGCTTGCTTGCATCTTTCTGACATGCCCCAGTGACACTGTTGAAACCCATTATTGACGGTTAGGAAAGGAGTGATCTTGTGGTTAACTTTCTGCCCTTTGACTGAGAATCTCTTCCCTGTCTTTCTAGTGTCTGAAAGCTGAAGATATGGCTAACGCTGTCATATATGTCCTCAGTGCCCCACCTCACGTACAGGTAGGCTGTGCTTGGGCTGGGGGACCCCGCGGTGGGTGGCTGAAGGCGGGGAGGGCAACTGCTGCCCTGACATTTGCTAATCAACGTTGCGGCCGCTGTACCAGCTGCGTGCTTAGCAGAGCCTGGGCTGGGGATTAGCAGCGATCACGTTGTGTTTACCCTTCCCTTACGGCAGCTATGGGATTGTGCTGCTCACGGCCCTGCGGATCCAGCAAAGGCTGCTCTGCCCCCAGAGAAGGGCTGCGCGAGGCAGGGGGAAGCGCAGGGCTGTGGGCACACTCTGCCCTTTTGGATGGTGCCATCTGAGATTTGCGGACAGCCTTGCATCTGGGTCAGGGCCTGCCAGTTGCCAAATAACGTGTTTGTCTGATTCTGGCGAGTGCGATGCACCTCCCCACGGGTGGTGTGAGGCGCTTGTGCTGCCAGAGGGATTTCCCTCCTGTGAAACAAGAAATAAATGACCAGCTTTGAGCTGGAGCCAGGAGGAGGCAGGAGCAGTTTCAGAGATTAGTATAGGCAACATAATTTCTATTGCAAAAGCAAGCTTCGGTCGTGAGAGGTTTAGCAGCCCCTTGAGTGAACTCTGCTCCCTGGGGCAAGACGTGGCCATCTCGACCTTGGATCAGTTGTGATAGTGGCCACCTTGTCTTAAGAAGATAAAAAAATCCTGCCTGTGGCTTCTGCTTGACCCTCTGTGAGCAGGACCAAAGACTCGAACCATGAGAGTTTATAATCAGTGTCATCTTGCACCCTTTTCTGCACGTGTCTGTGCCTGTATCCCTTCCCCTAAAGGCAGAGCAGTCACGTACACCTTTATTTCTTTCTAATATCTCAGTTAAGCAGGCTCATTGCTAGTCACAGGAACTTTCTTCATGTGCAGCTTCCCACTGTTAATGCTGCAGCCTGGAAGTGCTCAGTGCAGGATTTAAAACTGACTCAAGTGCTCCAGTAAAATCCTATGTTGGTCTCTTCCAGATTGGAGATATACAGATGAGGCCCACGGAGCAGATATCATAGCGAATGAAGAGGACTGTGAGCAGCACCGTGTATCCACTCCACTTCGAACCCTCTGGCAATTTAGGGTGTCGTCAGCTGGCTAGCAACATTTTAATCAAGTACCAAGGATCGTGTTTGAAGAATTCTTTTTCTCTCCCTCTCTCTGAGCTGGTGCTGGTGCTGAGCCAGTTTAAAAAGAAACAGTAGTGGGTCTCTTTCTCCCCCACTCCTTTCTGAAACTGCTTAAGAGTAAAATGTATTTGAAAATAATGCAGGGAAGTGGTTTGTGGAAGATTGTTGTCTCCAGGCTGGTTTATTCTTCCTTTTGCTTTCTTTTCAAGGTTTGTTTGATGTTATTTGCTGATGCTGTGTCTGGACGTAAGTGAAGTGCCACAAGATGTTTGCCAGCCTCGGTATGCTTAGGGTTTTTGAGATTTTCAGTGGATGTCACACATGTATCCATCTAATTTTTGGGTTTATTTTCATCAGATTGATTACTGATGGTAATGATGCATGTGGTATCTTCTACTTCTTTCAGACTCCACTGCCCTAAACCCAGCGTACAATCTCACCCGCCTTTCCCATTCACATGAATCATGCCTGCCAAGTCTGAGGAAGTATAAATGTGTGTGCTTGCTGTTTCTCTTTCTTTCTAGGTAGGTAGGTAAATAGTTGGAGGAAAAGTACCTGTACTTCTGCAGGTTAAGATGATCATCTAAGTGGCATAGTTACAGTAAGAGTGAGTTGTTTGGTATTTTTAATAAAAACTAAATGTGTGCTGTCTTGTGATCACCTCTATCTTCGGTATCATCTCCCAGCACTCTTGATGTTTTTGTACGTGATGTTTGCATGCATTGACACTTTTCTGAAAATATTGATTGGTCTTAGAAAGATGTATGGTGCTGTTTAAATGCTGGTGCTGCTGAGTTGGAAATATTGGAAGTTTGTTTATCCGCAGAGATGTGAACTCGGAGAGAGAGAGAGAGTGAAATGAACCATGCCGAAGCTGTCCAAAACGAAAAGATACTAGTAGGGGCATTTGCCTGTAGAGCAGCAGGTAAAAGGTCTGGTTCAGATCTCGTACTAGTTCTAGGCTGGTGCAGCCCCACTGTTTTGCTCTGGGTTGACTCTGTCTCGAGGAAGAAGCGAATCAGCCACAAAGCTGATACGTGCAGACCTGGAGACCACTCGAGTTGTCTTAAGACTCTGGCGGCGTGGCAGAAACACGTCTGGGTGTCATCCAGCTTGCTGCAGAGCCAGGGAGCTGTTAACGTAGACGTTGCCTTAAGGTTGCAGACTCGCTCCTGCTGCGCTCTGGACTTTCTGTAGTGTTTTGGAAGGGGAACCGTTGGTTTAGGTGGAGCAGGTGTGGTCAGTTGATCGGAGCGAAGGATCAGGAGCCAGAGGAACTTGGGTTGGATTGTTTTGCTTACACCAGTGTAGCTCTGTGGGAGTTCATCTGTGTTACACCACCAGAAGGGAGACCAGAAGTGGGCCACTACCATCATGAGTTTCAACTCCCTATAAAGCCTTGGGCGAGTCACTTTACCTCGCTGCCTCAGTTTCCCCATCTGTAAAATGGGGATAATAATACTTACCTACCTCACAGGGGTGTTGTGAGGACTCACAAACTTTTGTAAAGCACTTTGAATATGAAAAGCGCTATGTAAGTGCTGAGTGTTGATATGAAGTATTATTATTAATTAAATCTTGTGATACATAGAATTCCTTGTGCCAAAGGTGAGCAACTGTAGAAGGATACAAGGAGAAAACTGGTAAAACATTCCTTCACAAATGGCAAAACAAAAGCAATTTGCCCCTTTTTTTCCTCTTTATAAATACATGCTCATGGTGTGTTCTGTCCATTCCTCATCAGTCACCAGTTTCTACTGGCAAGTACACGTAGCCTCGTCTCTGGATTTGGCCTTTTAATTTACTGTGAGGGAAATTCATGCCCCGTGGTGAAGCCTTGTCCGACTAACGCACTACCCTCCTCTGCCTTGCCGAGGCGGTGGCTTTGTGGGGGCTCTGTGCACAGAGCTGGGTCTCACCTGCAGCGCTGTGGTAGATCGTGTCCCGCAAGGAGCAGCCCGTCCAGGTCAGCACGCCGCCAGCGATCCTCACCGCAGCAGAGAGCCTGCGCCAGCTGGGAAAGTGCTTCAGTCTCTGTGCCACCGTGATCCTCTGTTCCACCTGGCTAAGGAAGGTTCAAGCAGTGTTGTGCTTTTTTTGTAACACCCCTGCGACGTTCAGCTAGACTTGATATGAAAACTCCCGGTGTTTTCCGTAGGGTTTCTTTTGCAGGAGCTGGTTGAAATTCAGCAGATGCGCTGTGCGGCGTGTGCCATCTTTTTAAGAGAAGATGGTTGAACTAGGACTTGAAGGCCAAAAAAAAAAAAAAAAAAAAAAAAAAAAT